ACGTTACTTTAAGAAAAAAAAATTACTTTTAATTCTGAATTTTACTGACGAGCTACTCTGAAAAACAGAACATAAAATGATAATAAAAACGTTCCTGATCAATAAGTTCTGACTAGACATTGATGTTTAATGTAAATTTTAAGGATAAAAATTATTGTTAAAAATTATGATTGTAATAACAATCAGAAACGTATAGTTTTTAATTATGACTTTAGGGAAACAGAATCTAGACTATATATTGCTTGTTTAACGTTTCTATTTTGCAATAGCCGAACTTTAGGAATTGTTATTAGAAACACTAATTTTTATATTTCATCCTATAGGTTACGGCGGCAGTATGAAATGAAACTCGTAAAAGAATGTATTCTATTGAACTTTTCAATCTTTTGTTTTATATTTCTTTTTGCGGAAACAAGAGAGAGGTCTTTGAAACATAATCAATGGAGTGAAGATTATAATAAAAACAACACGGCCATTATATCTCCTCCAAAACAAGTAAAGAGCCATATTACTTCGAAATCCGAGCAGAGGAATGAAAGCCTAAAGAAAAATTTTCTGATTGATGTTGATAATCATCTTTCTTCAACTAACCCGCAGAAGGTAGAAATTTCTTATCGTGCCAAGAATATTACGTCTCTCAATAATACCACTACTGAATACGTTTCTAATCAAAGTAATATTTCTCAAAAACTATCTATTTTTCAGAAAAACAAACCATCATTTAATCTGGATATTTCAAAACAGACATCGTCTGCTTTTCTGAAAGACTCGCATAAGAATGGAAGACATCGTAGACATCTCAGGACACTTGAACGGGCAAGAACGTATGAGAAACCAATGTTTACAAACACTTTTGCAATGAAGTTGAGTGGAGGAGAAACAGTAGCAAAGGAAATTGCCCAAAATTATGAACTGAAACTTGTTAGAAGGGTAATATATATATGTTTTAATAACTAATTAATAAAATAACTTTATGACATTTCTTTGAAGATTGTGGTTGAGGTATATCAGTTGATAAAGTATATTTAAAATTGACAAACTGTTGTTTTTTTTTTTTTAATTTCGCGCAAACCTACACGAGGGCTATCTGCGATATAGCCGACCCTAATTTAGCAGCGTAAGACTAGAGGGAAGGCAGCTAGTCTTCACTACCCATCGCCAACTCTTGGGCTACTCTTTTACCAACGACTAGTGGGATTGACCGTCACATTATAACGCCCTCACGGCTGAAAGAGCGATCATGTTTAGTGGGACGGGGATTCGAACCCGCGACCCGCAGATTGAGAGTCGAGCACCCTAACCACCTGGCCATGCCGGGCCCCAAACAGTTGGAAAATATCTTTTGTCGGAAACACATGTTTTAGTAGACTTTCGAGACAAAGGTCCACGAAACATTGTCTCTAATAAAGAAGCCTTCCGGCAGTTTGCCCGTTATATATGTATTTTACCTATTTTTGATATGTTTTGTTTACCTAATGTGAAATTTATTCCTGAAGAAATTATACATGATTTTAATTTTGACAATTTTATTAACTTAATTAATTCACAATCCTGATTAATAAAAGACTTAAATGGATGAATTTATGATAGCACGAAAAAAAAAACCGCTGTGCATTTTTTATTTGTTACTTTAAGGAACTGCTTGAATTAAAACGGTCACCGAATTACGTCAGACAAAACTTGAAGTTTCTTAAAGAAAGACTGGAAATTACGTTTTCCAAGCTGAATTTAGGGTTAATGGTACTTTTCCTTTCACTTTCAGATTTTTGATGACTACTTTCTCTTCAAGCATAATTCGGTTTGTCGGAGATGTAAGCGTGCTGCCACTAGACATCTGAAAAAATGGACTCATGACAACAGGGTAAAAGTTGAACTATTTCTCATGTTTACTGTTTTAATGGTCTTGAATGAAGCTTACTTTTATAATAAGAATTAGAGACAACTGGTATAAAATACAGCAGGATTTAAAGCCCTCTCGTGATCTATAGAGGCCTCAATGTGCCGATCAAACTCCATCATCCCCAATAGTTTCTGGGTCGCTTATCTCGAATCTGACATCGAATCTTATATTTCTGGCTCTCCTCGGGATCCAGGGAATGCCATCTTTGAAATTATTTCCATACCTCCACTCAGAAACTATTGGGATCAAACTCAGGTATCACGTGTTCGCATTCTAAAGATTCATTTTTCGGTTATAGGCCCTCTACCTTCAGGTAACTATAGAAAACTTACTCTTAGACCCTCGTCGTGCCTGGAATACTTTCCAGGCGAGTTGTGACCCACCCCCCCCCCCCGGCATCCTGTTAGTAGGGTTCACGTCATCTAGATAGGGACACCTCCCGACCTATTGTGAGTTAGCCTGTCACACACAAATGAATTAACATAGGAAATAATTCTACAGAAAGTCAGATCTCGAGATTATTCATTATATATTATACTTATTGTGATAATTCCGTAAATGTTTTTCTTCGTCGTTTTGTTGTGACAGAAAAGTACTCGTTGAAGAGTAGTAGAAATCCCATAGTTTTAACTTACTATACTCTGTTAAAAACAGTTTAACACAGTTTGTTTTCAAATTTTTATCGACTTACTGATCCTTTACGAGATTATGTCTTCATGAAGTGAGAGCATATAATATTTAGAAATAACTTTAGTTGGGCAGAGGAATAAATCTGTGAGACGTCTTAAAGCAGTCGTGGAAGCTTTAAAAAGTTTGCTGATATTCAGATAAGGCACACCTTAGAATGTTTGTTTTTAAACATTCTCAAAGAAAAAAAAACAGTAAAGTATCAACAACGACAGTGGTTATTCACGGCTATGTTAATCCTCATTATTTCAATTTAATTCATTCCGATTCATTTTTCTTTACTTTTTTAAATGGATATTTTTGAAGATTTATTCATCCAAGTATTTTTATGGTTCAATTTCAGAGAATTAATGATCACACTGAATTTATTGCGTTTCACTTAAATTTTACAGAAATGTTGGCAACATGTCATATAAGCAAAACTGTAGAAATATGTTAATGGTTACAGTAATGTCATTCTTTTATTACGTGCCTCCAAGTTTCTCAGCAGCAAGCTTACACCACTAAGAATCGGGTTTCAATACCTGTGGTTGGCAGAGCACAAATAGCCCATTGTGTAGTTTTAGGCTTAACACCAGTCAAATCTTTTATTTTGTTCATGTCTACAATAATCAGGATGATTTGTAAAAAACAACAACACAGGATGCTATCAATATAAAAAAACAACAACACAGTTTTAGATTTGTTTTCAAGCCTGGTAAAAAATTAAACTAATTAAATTATTTACACAATAAATGACAGCAAAGAGGGTTCTTTCTCCAACAGAGAACCGTCGTTACGTCCTGAAGTTGTTTCAAACTGTTGATTATTTTCGACAGTATGTTAATTCTGATCCTAGTACCGCTAAAATTAATGCTTAGCTTGAACTCATGCAAGCTAAAGTTACAAGTTATATATTACTGATGATCGTCACTGGTGTCGTGTTTATTGTAGGGTTACATTTTTTACTACAGAGCTTCAATGCTGTTATAACCATTTGCCTTAAAAAATAATTAAAAGAATACTCGAGAAACCAAAAAGAAATCTCTCATCAAATCGTCTGACAAAATGTTATTATAGTAATAAAAGCCATGAATGCTTGGAAAATAAATGATTTTTTTTAGTTTATTTGAACAAATGTTATTTCAGAAGAACATATAAGAATATTAGGGATATTTCACAAACTATAAACTCAGACAAAGTTCAAACGTTTTTCTTGAATTATTATTTTTGAACAGATTGAATGGGTAGAACAACAACAGCTCTTGATTCGACAAAAACGACAATTAGACCCGGACCTTCCCGAAATCATTTATGATAAAGCAGTGGAACTCCCGCAAGTTGAAATTATGGATAATTCAATTTATTATAGAATGAACGAACAGGAAACTGCTATTCTCGATGAAGTTGACATGAACTTTAACGATCCGTTTTATCATGATCAGTGGTACTTGGTAGGTATTAGTTTGTTGTTGTTTTTAATTCATACTCGGTTGATGTACAGGAATTTCTTTTTTTTTTCTTTTACTTTTGGTATGGTCTTATCACGTGTACCTGATGTTTGTAAAACTGTCGAAATATTATCATGCGAACACGAAAGTATCCATCAACGGATATTTTAAAAATAATTCAAGTAAAATTAATCTTTATTTCGGTGTAGACTGTTAAATTATTTTACACGTAAAACTAAACGAACATCACAATTTTTTTCAAAGTATTTGTTCTTTAAGATTGGAATTTTATAACTGGCAGATTTATTTGAAAATATATCAGAAATTAAAAGTCTTGCCTTTCTTTTAATGGGAGTGTATTTTAAAGCAAAACTACTGTCGCCAGCGAAAGAATCAAACCCCGGATTTTAGCGTTATAAGTCCACAGATTTAACGCTGTTCCACGGAGACGTTATGAAGTTTTTAACATTCTTGGACTGATTTTTTTCATCCATTTGAAAAAAATTTAGATTAATTTGTAGCTTTACAAACTTAACGTATTTCAACATATTCCTTCCCTTCTTTCTCTAGCACAACAGAGGGCAAATTGGATATCCAACTGAAAACGACATGAACATACTTCCCGTATGGAAAGCAGGCTACACCGGAAGTGGCATACATCTGGCTGTATTAGATGATGGTGTGCACCCTGAAAATCCAGAGATTGCCAAGAATTATGTAAGTGTTCACACAGGAAGTTAATACTTTGTTCTTACTACTTGTAAAGAATATTAACTAGTTTTAAAATTACAAACACCTTATACATCTGATATAGATGGCAGAAAAGTTGTTTCACAGACACATCTGATTAGTGAGCACTTTTCAAAGATTAATATGTGAAACTTTCCTTCATAACTGTTTAATTATTTAGGAACCTACCCATAGAAAACTTAGCAAAGTAAAACATGTGATGACAGCTTACTGGAGAGTACAAATAGAAAAATAAAAGATAGCGAAAACCTTAAACAAATACCTATTCTTGATGTAACTTCTAAAGCAACAGAACCTAAATGAAATACATTTTTCCTAAAAAATAAATTTTTCAAAAATAGCTCGTCAAAGAATTTAGCAAGTGCTTTCACCAACTTAAAAGACTGTGCAATAAGGTACTGTAATATTCTGTTGTAGTCCAGTTACATCAATTTTTTACAAGTTCTGAATTACCCGCCTAATGACATCACATTTACGTATGTAGTGTGATCTATAAAATACCATCTTTCTTTTCGTCTTTCTATATACCCATGAGTAATTTGTTTAAGGTATACAGAAAAAATCACCCAATGGCTCAATGTTAAGTCTGTGGCCACGGCACAGATAGCCCATTGTGTAGCTTTGTGTTTAACAATAAAACAAAACTAACAATTACATAGAAATAGTCTCGTTTTGAGTTTACTTACTGATTATAATTACTGTTTGATCACAAAGTAAAGCTTTTACAGTAAGGGAGAATAATTTTCAGAACAGGTGCGACGTTTCGATCACTGGTGTGTATACTTGAGAATGATCGCTCCATTGATCGAAACGTCGTACTTGTTCTGAAAGGTAATTTTCCTTACTACAAAAATTGTTACTTGTAATAAACAAATATAGTAAATTTTCAAAACTCACAAAGTGTTCATTGCTTTTTTATCATTTTTCTAGGACCATTCGATCAGTTTTGACTTTGTTGATATGAAGGATTTGGACCATCAGAGTACAGTAAACAGCAGGTCTGTTATTAAGATTCTAATTTTATACCGTTTTTATATCATTGTTAAAGTGATTGGGGATTTTATTTCCAAAGTAAAATAAACCAGATATAATGTAGGTTGATTTTTTTTTTAATTTAGTAATAGTTTTTGTGGAATTCATATTGGACGAAGGGTTGGCCATGTGTTAGAGCTCTGGATTTCCGAGCTGGCAAGACGGGTTCGAATGTGTGCGACACCACAAACAATTCTCTGTACTTTAAGTTATGGGTGCGTTATAGGAGTGACAGTGAATGATTTTTTTATTTTAGTTTTTTTTGGGTTGTGTGTGTGTGGGGCAGGATTCTGTTACTTGATTGCCTTCTCTATGGTCAGCAGTTCAAAATTAGGACGGAGGCAAATGATCTTTGTAGCTTTGCCATAAATCCAAAATAATATACAATAGAATCATATAATTTGTCATAACCAGATATGCCATATTCATTGACTATGTACTAATTTGTAGTCAATAAAAAAATAATGCCTACATAGGATACTACTTTACCGTCAATACAAAAAAATAATGTTTATTAAGCACACTACCGTCAATACAAAAACTAGTGTTTATCAAGCACACTACCGTCAATACAAAAATTTTTCAGTTCAACTTAGTGACGGCTAGCACAGATAACCCAAGTTCACTGTGAAATAAACAACAAATATACCCTATTTTAGCTGGGCAGAGCACAGATAGCCCTTTGTGCAGCTTTGTGCTTAACTTCAAACAAGCAGACAGACATATTTTTGTATTTACAGTAAAGTAATGTACTCGATAGGCGTCCCCCTGTGGGACAGCGTTAAGTCTACGGACTTACAACGCTAAAATCAGGGGTTCTATCTCCCGCGGTGAAAACAGCAGGCAGTTCATTGTAGCTTTGCTTTAAAACAAACACACACATGCTTGATAGACATTATTTTTTTTGCATTGACGGTAAAGTAGTGTCCTACATAGGCATTCGTTTTTTGCATTGACGGTAGTGTGCTTGATAAACACTAGCTAGAGGGAAGGTCAAATCTTTGGTTACTCTAATCAAATAGTAGGATTTGACCATCACTCTTATAACGCATCTTTGGCCTAAAAGTGTAGATCGCAATTTTTTTTCTCTTCTGCAACGGGACTAACCATGGACATTTATATTCACAGTTTAAACCTTTTATTTTGCAATGCAAATTAAGAAAGGCAAAAGATAAGCCAGCTTTAAAAATATCCACCGCTATTTTGTGCACCCTATATGTCAACTAATGAAATTACAGCTTACTAAGTAAACAGAGCCAATCGCATAGTTACACATTATATATTAAAACGTAATTGATTTTATTGCTATAGAACCAATAACGTTTAGCCACTTTGCTTACGAAATAGCTTATAAGGTTTACACTGTAGTAGTATTACGGATTCACCATTCAGTCATGCCGAAGGATTACATATCTATCCTACATTATGTGTTATGTGAAGTTGGACTGAAGGGAGAATGCAACCAGCAGCACTATTATTCCAAATGTTATATGCTTGGTGATTCTCCTACAGTTGACAGTCTAACTGAAAGAACTGGACCCAATCTACGCTTCTCTTTCAGATTCCACTCTTGATGCATCCTCGAACAAACCAGATTTTACAAACCCTGGGTGTTTTGAACTGAACATGGGCAACAGTCATGCCAATTGTATTATGTACCATAAACATACTCAGGCACCCGGTTGTTGTGCCACATGTAGAATGGACCAAAGTCTTTGTTGTGCATGATATTGTCATCTGTGCTGGAGCTTGGTGTCGCAAAGAAAGCAGTATGTACCTGAATTGCACCAGGTGGCAGACCCATACCCACTGTAACAGAACATATATGATTAGTCTTTTAGAGAACAAACCTGCATGAGCAGAAATATCTGAATTAATAGACTTTGAAAAGTCTCACAAACTAATTGATGTTGAATACTGTAATCTGACTAAACGACCACCAGATCAAAGTTTGATGATCTGTAGCTCAGGTTACCTCTTTGAGGAGTGCCCATGTAAGATCCGTTGTACTTAATGGCACTGGGAAACAAAGGAATATGGATAGATATGGGAACCCAGGACTATTCAGAAAGAGATCTACAACAAGTCGTATCTCAGGCGTGGTAAGCAAAGTACAGCGTCTTGTAACAGGTGAGAATACATAAACACAAAGGTCAATGGCAAAGACTGTCCGCGCACCCTTGACAACAGTATGTAATGTAATCAACAAGGATCTCCATATGGAAACGTGACACACGTAACGTCTACACAAGCTGCTTCCACGTCATATCTATTCAACAGTGACATCCCTCTAGTAGCTGAAGAATGAAACGAATATTCATGCTATTCTTTATAAAGTACATATCGGCCAAGGTTCTGTGGATTTGTGTGTGATTGGACTGTTGAAACTACGCTGCTGGACAATTGTCAAGGTGCACGATCATCACATAGAGCATGACCGGAAATTGCGCCATGTACAGTAACGATGTGGTGAAACTCCAAAATCGTTTGTATATTACGTACTCAACCTGTGTACGAATTAAAAACAGACAAATTTACAGTATGTATAAGCAGAGGCCACTTGTCAAACCGACTTATTGTTTCTACCATCCAACACACGTTTGTGTCAAGTCTCCAAAGACTGGATTCCTCTGTGAGATACGAGTAACACCCTTTTTAGGAAAAGAATGTCACACCTCCGTTTGTAAAGAAGATAGATACACACCTAAATCTTATATCCACAATAACCACGTCATGTGTTTGTATCTAGGCTCTGATGCTTTCAACATCATTTTGGAATACGCGATGTATAATTGCTGAATCATTATTTACCCCTTCAGCAAGATAAGGACCGAGAACCAATACACAGTATCTATCATTGGATACGATCCTCATGGTTACATAAAACAATGGAAACCACTAGACACGTCGATTCCGTTGGAGAGAGGGGCTGGCATAAGTGAACTGTCAGAGCTCTTGGTCTTGCAATTGGCCTATGTTCATACAAAACAGAAGCTCAGTTCAGCATAATCGGAAGATTAAGTACAAAAGAGATCGACTTGGAACAGATGATGCATCTTTGGACATTGCTTGAAGCATGTCCACAGTAACTGATAGTTGGTACATACGATAAAGCAGGCAATATCATATAGACATCTGATCCGTTCAAATATTCAGTCTCTTCTTGTCTCAAGTAATGTATACCCTCTTTCTGGATTCAGTATCGCTGTCATGTTTTAAGTAAAGTGTATCTCTCTCGGGATCCAGCATGACTGTCTGTGTCTTGCAGACGTAAGAATAATGGGGTGTTGTGCACTAGTAAGGCTAGTAACGTGATTCCCGAGAGTCACACAGTTCAAGGAATACGTGCTCACATGACCATCTCTCATATCTGAAGGTGTTCAGGAAATTTTAATAGTCATCTATAACACCTCCAGTGAATCAAACAATGACTGGAAGTGGAAAGTGAACTCTTAATGTACAGAGTAAATGAAAAGTAGCATTTTATGAATAATGTGACGGATTTACTATTATATATCTTATTTAATATTGATGTTTGTTTAAGTTAAATTTATGTGTAGAAATGTACATAACTTATACTGTTAAATCTGAGTTGCGAAATTCCCGCCTATTCACTAAAATTGTAGAAAATTCTCGAGTGTAAGAGTCAACAATATATGTGTGTCACGTAAACACTGGTGTATCGTTTATATTGTTGCGTAAGCTGAAATTTTGAGAAACTCTCCACACGCCTATAAGTATAACCAACGCGACACGCCAAAAGACAATATATAATATTGGTTTGCTTATAGCTGGTGCTATAAACCCCGGAAGCTCTAACCGTGATTAACGCTTATTAACCGGGAACTTTAGATATTTAACTAGGAAAACGTATATAGATTTCGAACATTTCAAACCATTTAACTTCAGCGGATTCACATCAGACATTAGTATTTTACGAAAACATTATATAACTTCAGCGGATTCACATCAGACATTAGTATTTTTACGAAAACATTATATAACTTCAGCGGTAAAAAACTCGACCTGTAATCGGCGTGTGATCAGCGAAGACCACAGAGCTAGCTAGCTCCCTGTTAAGTGAATTGCTTCTTCATAATTAATTCGCTTATCGTGAACCCTGGATAAGACATCAAGGAAATTCCAGACTAGAAAGAATAGTCGATGTTTTTTGTAAGTTTGTAAAACTTTTGTACATAGATCATTATTTGTAATAACCGTTATTTTAAATTGCGTTATTGTTTGTATATTAAATATATATTTGTATTAAAAAACTGTGTACATAAATCTTGTTGGCAGGTGTTATAGATTGGATAGGTATCGGCATTTATTTAACTTCTAAATCTAATTTACAATTTAACTCAGTTTTAGGCCATTTGAAAGTGAAATACGTAACAATAAGTTATGGACAATAAAAAACACCAACATTTTTTTGTAATTATTGTGAATTTCAATATTTTTAGGATGGAGTGAACACAATATACGTAGATAAATAAATTCGAAGGCTGGACAAAATTTCCATCTTATAGGTTCTTAAAGCTTAAAGTTCATTGTTGAAAACATTACTTTCTTCATCTTAAAAGACATGAAATAACCGGATGAGATATATTGGTCAGCGTACTCGGATTGTGGATCCAAGGATCCACGATCCGTCATCCGTTGCTGTAAAATGGGCATCGCATTTTGAGGTTGTGAGTGCGTTATAGCAGCGACGATTATGTCTAACTATTCATTCGGATAAGAGTAACCCAAGAGTTGGCGGTGTGTACTCTTTACTAGTTTGGCTTCCCACTAGTGCATCAGTTCAAAATTACGAGGGGTTATGCGCAGATATATTTTTTGTGTTGCTTTGTGCGAAACTCAAAATTACGAGTGGTTATGCGCAGATATATTTTGGTGTTGCTTTGTGCGAAACCCAAAATTACGAGTGGTTATGCGTAGAAATATTACTGTGTTGCTTTGTGCGAAACTCAAAATTACGAGGGGTTATGCGAAGGTAGATTTTTATGTTGCTTTGTGCGAGACTCAAAATTACGAGTGGTTATGCGTAGATATATTTTTGTGTAGCTTTGTGCGAAACTCAAAATTACGAGTGGATATGCGCAGATATATTTTTGTATTGCTTTGTGCGAAACTCAAAATTACGAGTGGTTATGCGCAGATAGCTTTTCGTGTTGCTTTGTGCGAAACTCAAAATTACGAGTGGTT